AGTCAAACAGCAACAACAACGATAACAACTGTTGTTGTTATTAATAGATAATTGGCGTTGTTCTGCCGCCAGTTGGTCTGGCCGGGCGTTGCCACAATCCGAGCAGAAAAACCGGTGGCAGCTCTTGCATTGTATTTCGATTCCTTCTTTTTGTTTCTGTTTTTTTAATGTTTGACTCGATATCTGATTTATGTGCCACCCACAAAATGTGGGTCAGCCCCACTGCAGATTTATGTCACTTGGTTAAATAATCAGCTGCTTGTTCGTTGTTGCCTCTGTTGCTACTGTTGCTGCTGCTGCTGATTAATTAGCCAACAACAATGGTCCACAATTTTCTTTTGCTGTTGCGGCTTTTCTTCAATTTATACAACACCAGCGCACTTTTCCTCATCGTGATGGTCTTTTTATGATTACTCGCACCTATCTCCATACACTTTCTGCTCACACATGCAGAGACACACTCATGTACTTGCACGTATACACTTCAATCTACATTGCTCAGACGCTACCAACAACTCAACTGAAGCTGCGAATTAGTCGCTTATTGTTTGGCGTAATTGTTTCTTGTTGCCGACACTGTTGTTGTCTGTGTTGTTTATCTTTTTTGTGTTTTCAGTGTTGTTTTTTGTGGCCCACGTAAACGAAAGTCAGTTTTGATATTCGTTTTGTTATGATTTTATTGTTTGTTGTTGTTGGTGTTTATCGCTGTCTGGGTCAGTAGCGGAAAATGTAATGCAAGCGGAAATGGCATAAAATAATAATTTCTTTTATAGTAGAAATAACTAAATATTAAACAATTGTAATAGATAAAAGAAATTGTAATAATTAAATCCCAATTTGCTGCGCTACATCTTCAAACAATGCGAATAATCTGAAACAAATTTCAAACTCTGCATTTTTTTTTGTTTACAATATGTAAATGAAAGTAAATAACATCAAAAGTTTGCTAATAATCATGAATGATAAAATAAATAATTTATTATCGTTTGTGTGCCTTTCCAAATATTCTATATGAAAACAAATAACTTAGGCAACGAACTTGACTGTGGCAGACACGCCGTCTTACAAGCTGTTGATTTGTCTGTCGTGTTTTTGTTTTCTTGTTTCTGCTGATTTTGAGCGATGACAAAACAAAGCCAGCGAGTTGTCGAAAACATCAAAGTGCCTCGATTATGACTGTTAAGAGCTCTTGTCATTTTGTTGCCTTCGCGCTTTAAATTGTGCCTGAAGCGCATAATCAGAATGACCTACCCGTCCATATCATATGTTTTAAGATGCGGAATTATAGGTACTTTTGACTTATGATTTTTCACAGGGTGAGGCGTTTCTAATTGGCCGAAAGCCGCCTAGTGGAAGTCTATGATGCCTACTTAAGTAGTCGCCTAATAGACGTATCATTGGCTGCTTCCTGCTAAGTACTTTTGGAAATGATGGCAATGACAGCTTGCAATTGATGTCGGCCTGAGAAAAATTATACGGAACTAAAAGTTAGGTAACAGATTATGTTTTAGAGTATGCCGAAACAATAGAAAGAAACAAAAAGACGTGCGGGCCATCAAATAATTGGCAACTTAAATAAGAGCTTGGTTTATGACCAGATTAAGTCGTCTAATGCGTAGCCACCTACTGTGCCGACACCTAAAGATGTCATTAGCATAAACAACAAAACAATGAATCACTCCACTAAGAACCGGTTGTACAGCGTCCTTTACCCAAATGATGTCATTGCCTCAATATAGATCCTGATGAAGCGTAGTATACATCTCTCTCCCTTTCTACCTCTTTCTCTCTCGCTCTCTCTCTCTCTCTCTCTCTCTTTCTAAAAACAAGTTCTGCGTTATAAAATCTAATTTTGCATTCTTAAACAAAACAAATCTGATTAGCTTTAAAGCTTTAAAGTATCAAACTTGTTCGCTAGAATGAATTTCTAGCATACTGGTATATTAAAGCCGATAATTAAGTTTATTAAATTTGAAAAATAGCAATAATTTTTATTAATGTTTACTTTTGTTTTCTCAACCATTGCATAATTTTTGATGGGAAATCCAATGCGATTGGATATGCGGGCCTGAACTAAAAAGCTATATAAAGAATTGACTGACATTGAGTTATTGAAAAAAGACATAATATATAAAAATAAATATATATTTTCTTGCAAAAAATAAAGATGCTCCCATTTCTTCACCGTCTGCAGCTGATTTGAAAATTTGAAACCAAAGCAAATGCCATTCAATGTTAGCCCTAAAATGGCATGACGCAAAGCCTGTTGCCTGTTGCCTGTCAGCGCATGGAGGTCAGCAGTTTGCTCTGACATTTAGCCGCATGCGCCAAGCGGCATGCTGCCCGTATACGTAGTCGGGCCAGCATTTGTGGGTACGCAATTCGTAACGCACGTGGCTTGATGAATGTGCAGTCTTTACTCTTTTCTGCTATGTTGCATGCTGTAATTTAAGAACTTGGCATTTAGTTGTAATGATCATATTTAAAATCGTGATGTAATGCAACAGTTTACGCATGCTATAGACGCTGGGAAGCTGCAATTTGATGTGGTAATAACACATTATATATATATAAATTTATATATGTGTGGTAGTTACAGCTGACTCGACTTAAAGTTCATTCAAATACACTGGCAAAAAGCCAAGCTAAACAAAAGTTCAAGTTCGTTGCCTAAGTCTTTCGTTTTGGAGTCAAAAAACAGTTGACAAACGATTTATTTATTACACTTGAAGCGTAGCTGACATTTGACCAAAACCAAACAACAGCAGAAAAATGGGGAAAAAAACACGCGTTGATGTTTTGTTTAGGTTGGTTTTTGCGGCTGGGCAAGTTCGTTGTCAAAGTCTTTTGTATTTCCTTGTGTTTTCATAACTTGTAATAAAGCTGAGTGCTCAACACAAAGCAAACGTAAAGAATAATAATAACAACAACAACACCAACACAATGCATTATGTCAGGGGTAGCCGAGATAAAAAAGCAAATCTGATGCTTAGAATATGTTGAAATCTTGAGGCAGCATCAAAAGCAGAAAACGTGTACATTATTTACACACTTCATTAATCACTAAAGATGGGCACTAAAAAAACGTAAGGTTGAATGTCTACGGGGGGAAGGGGTATAAAAACAAGACACATTAGGTTACTTTTACTTGATCGTACGCTCTGGCAGCAACAGATGCGGCTCATTGGCTTTTCAGCGATGTGCACGCAGCGCCAGTTAACGCATCAACACTTGAATGGGATACAAGTACAACAGCAGCTAAAATAGAAGACAACAAAGTTGTAGTTGCGGCCGAGGATGAGAGTGAGAGTGAAACGAAGACGCAAGGGGGGGTTGGGGCACAGGGGCGTGGGTCTGCTTTTGGGCATTGTTGCTTGAATGACTTTTAAATTTATTTGCCATTTCTTTGCTGGCAAACGTTAATGAGCAAAGCAGACCAAGTCGGACTCAGACCAAGCCAGCCAGGCAATAGCATTCGCATTTTGAACTTTTATCTGGCCATCTGCAACAGCAACAGCAACAGCAACTTCAACAACAACAGCAACAAAATTATATTGTATACAGCATTTGCTTACATTTAAAGCAACCAGATTGATGTTTTCTTTTTGTTCCCCCTAGTTTTATTTCTTTCTGCCAGCTCAACTTTAACCCTCGGCCACATAAACTGAAACACCTTCGTCTGGTGCGGGTGTGCGACTGTCTCTATGTATATGTGTGTGTGTATGGGCTTGTGATGTGAAAGATGTTAAGTCACACATTTGGCCTAAATTTGTCTTTTCCTTGGCTATGGCTAAGCAATGTTTGCCGCAACTTGTGCGCTTTTCTTTTGTTCATTTGCGCCACAAGGCTGGAAAAATCTGTAGCAACTCTTGACATTTAAGCAGCATTTCCTAATTCCTGCACCAACTACTTTCTGTGTCTCTGCTTGTCGCTTCGTCCGTAATTGCAATACACAAAAAACAAAAACAAAACAAAAAAATTATCTAACGCCAGCGTTTGCAGCTGCCCCAAATGCCCCCGGGCAGCGCATTCTGTGCAACTGCAACATCCTTGAACTGCACCTACTTCATCTCAGTTTTAATAACAATGCCAAAAACTCAGCTGTGGCTAATTTATGCAGATACACAATTAAAACCTCGCAAAAAACTGATTGAAATGTATGCCAGCAGCAAGCCAAAGGCTGCTTAAGTTATTTTTCTATCTATGGATCTATGTTAAAATCAAATTTTTGATTAATTAATCAGGCAGTCCACTTACCTAAGCCTCAGCGAAATTCATGCATATTTTTTAGAATAATTTAAAAAATTAAGAATTGTGTTAATTGCGCCCAGTTAATTGTGGCAATATGAAGACTCTGCTGAGGAGGTCGTTGACACATAATTGCAATGACTTTATAGTATTATACAATCATTAACAACTTATGAGTTTGCATTTTATTTATATTTTCCAAAACAGCAATTAATAAATAACATTCAAATTTATTAAAGGACAATTGCCAACTCAATGATGCAGGCAACTAAAAACATTTCATGGCCAACTACAAAAGCTAATTAAAACACGAATTTAAAAAAAATCAAGTAAATTATAATAACTTTTCATCAATTTAGCAATATCTTGTAATATTCTCTTACATTCTTTTTAAATTTTTAATTATTATTTTTTTAAGATTTGGTACGATTTAGGTAAGCTTAAGAAGAAATAAATAAAAAAATTAAAAAAAAATTTATTTAATTTAAAAGTAAATTCCTTAATAACTTTCTAGCTGATTTCTTAAAATGTCTTGCGGAACTGCTTTACTTCTCAGTATTAAGCTGCTTAAAACTCTACAATATCACTTCAGTCCCAAAGTTAATTAATAAAATCACATGCTTAATTAAAGACCATCAAAACGAGAATAACTTGTGAAAGGCAGGCTCATTTGTGTCTGAGCTCTTTTGCCATTTATGAAGCGTTTAGAAGTTACAGCTGACGAGATTCCAGGCCTCTGAACATTCACTTACCTTTAGACGGCAGCATCAGCATGGGCAGCCTCAATGTCGAATTTATGAGCTTGAATGTGTGTGTGTGGCAACAATCTGTGGCAGCAACTTCTTCCTGTGCTCACAAAGTGGTTTTGCTTTCAGTTTCGTGAGTGAAGTAATATGTTTTTGCTATATTATTATAGAGTTTTCCGCTATTTTCGTAGTTTTTCTCGCTCTCGTTGTAGATTAACTATAATGTGGCATTTTTTATATGATTTTTTTGGAGAATTTTGTTTTTTTTTTTTATATGTCTCACTAAGGTTTTGTTGGTCCAATGAACAAATAACACAATTTAAATTTAGTTATAAGAAAACAAAATCACTTCAAAATTTTAACATTTTAGCAACAAAACATTATTTACACTTTATAAAGTGAGGTAATGGCAAGATCAATCAAACAAATTAACAAAACTCAGTTTTCAGATTTAAATTAAGCTTAAATTCCAGCAAAATCTAATGATTTTCTGACATTTCTGAGTATTTTCGTTAATGTAAATAAATATTTGTGACAGAAGATTTTTGAAGTGATTTCATCGAGAAACTCTGATTTAAAGTTCGACTCGCGTCTACAATTTAAAAACGTTTGTGTTCTACACAAAGTCCTCTCATATGTTTTATTTAATATAAGCACTAAAGTTTCAAGCTAAAAGCACTTAATCAAAAGAAGCTTGAAACCATTCACAATTGATTTTATTAAGCACACTAGAGTTTCGAGATGCAATAAGAAATCTTTGAAGTACAAAATGTGATGCCAGTCCGAACAGAAGACGTCTTCACCCGTACGATATTCACATTTGAATGTTTCAATTGGCAAATGCGGCGTCCAACTTTAGTAGTTGAGCGACTCAGACTCGGGCCCCCGACCGCAACTCCGACTCGGCACACTCTTCGCCAGCGAAAACGCACTCCCCAGCAAATACACCCAAGAAACACAATCGGCAAACTCGCCGAAGACACCCGCAGATCTTCGCCAGAGCGCCGAAGCCACCGAACATCTTCCTCGCAGCAAACAACAACATTTTGGCCTGGCCAAAGCAAAAGCAAAAGCAAAGTCAAAGCAAATGAAATAAAAACAAATGCAATTGACTTTGCGACCGGTCCAGCGATCAGCTGTTTACATGCGAGATTGAGAGGGAGAGCGAAACAGTTAACAGAGTGATTGTAACCGTACTGTTAAGCGCGTACATTGCTGTTAAGTGTTCAGTAGATAACAGAACTAATTGTGAACATGAAAAATGTTTGAGACAGAAATATTTAAAATAAAATATAAAATATATTTGGATATTTTGCAGAAAGAAAAAATATTTAAATATTTTGAATATTTATAAATATATTTCATCTACTTAGCTTATGAAGTGTAAGTGTAAAAATTAATTTTATGTAAACAAAATCAATTTTATTATAAATTATTTTTTTTCCGAATGTTTAATCCCAACTTACTGAAGTAAAAAGAAGACACTCACTCGCATTAATATATTTATTTTGATATTTTTTTATTTTTATTCAAATTTATTAAAAATTAATTTAAAATAAATGAATATATACAAATATATAATTGATCGTCTTAGATATTTCTTTTATATTTCACGTTTATTTCTATTTATCAGAAGAAGACTTACAACCAAGCCAAGAAATAAATAATATCTCAATCCAAGCTGTGATATCTCCATCGTAAAACAAATACACTCGAACTGCTGATGGGAAAGGGAAAGGAAAGGGGAAGCCAGTAGATATATCATTAATGTAGGGCCCTTCAGCAGCAGCAGCGGTGCGGGGCGGCAGTAACGTTGTATTTTCAATTATTGATTTGAAACGCTGTCATTGACGACTTTATGACTCGAGTTGTGGTTTCTGTTTATGGGCCATTGGCCGGGCGAAAGACAGATGAGATGCGCGACAGCTGAAGAGTTGACAGTGGACAGTTTTTATTATGATTTGTCCAGCTTCTTGGTTTGGTTGAGTGATTTTGACTGCGAATCGAAGCCCTGACAAGCGCTGGCATTGCATAACAAACTGCTTGAGCTTTGGTTTCTTGGGCACAGCTTCTGCCTTGCTTCTGCTTCCTTCTCCAACTCCACCTCCAATTGCATCTCCATCTCCACCTCCACGCGATGCAGATGGCAGCATTACACGGCGCATTCATTGCGCCTTCGATTATGATTTAGCTATAGGAAATGCTTAAATAATCGCAGTCACAAATATTCCCACGAGTTTTTTTTTGTTTTTGTCTTTTTTTGGTAGTAGCGATATCTACTTCCAGCCATCAGCAGCGTCAGATTGTCTGCTACATGAACGAATCCGCATTGGATTCTATTAAAAGCGTTTGTAATCGTCAGAAGCGACGCTGGTAATCACCTCAAAGTCACAAAACGAAAGACTGCAGCAACAAACTTGCTGTGCATGCTTAACTTAACGTGATTTTAATAGCGGGTCGGTTCTGCATTTCATATTTGGGTTGGCTGCTTATTCAAGTATAAACACAAAAAATATATATATATTTAGCTAGTGGCTCCAAATGACATTGAACAGTTTAAATACCCTGTAGCAATAAAAGTGTGGACTAAGAGGATTTTAGCAAAGTTGTTTAAGTCTCTTGATGTTAAATGGTGTTAGCCTTAGAAAGGGCAGCTTCTGAAGTATTTGTGGGACTCGTTAAATGCTTCTTTGGATGATCATTCCTTGCCTTATATTTAATTGCTTACAGACTTCAAGACAGGGTACCTTCTGGCAGTGCTTCTTTCAGCTTAATAACTCAATAATAATGTTATGTCATGATAATTAATTGCTACATTGATAAGTTTATAGACAGCAGTATTTTATTGAGTATTCCAATCAAAATTATGTTTAAGGAGCTGAGCTGGAAGAAGATACTTCTAAAATAGAAATACTGTGACTGGGAAGCCCCACAAAACTTTGTTATGAATGGAACTGAGATTCACATGTGCCATGTCACGCACATTCTAAATATTTAATTCCGTCTACTCAACTGCTCACTTATATAAATTTCCTTAATACTTAACTTAATTTAACTCTTAACATTGAAGACGGCTGCTCAACTAGATAATAGGAAAACTATTTGGCAATTTGCTGGCAAAAACTCATTGCCACAATTAATTCACTTTACAACTGAGCACATTGCAGCTGCATATGTTTAAAGGCGAGCCAGATAGTTGGAAGCTTGGGCACATTGAGCAACAACCTTAAAGGTCGTTTTGCCATTTTGCGGAAAAGTGTCAAATCATCGCCAGAGCATCTAAGAAGCCATAAGCTAACCTATATTTAACCCCAAACTATCCATCAAAGTACATGGAATGAGGGCTTCTGTTTTTTTTCTCCGTGCTGCAATTCAATGCAATACGGCGAAGAAGCCTTTTGTAAAATTGAAAACCATTTAAGTCCCGTTAATTTTAACACCCATTTTCTATGCCAGCAAAGATTGCCAAATAGAGTCTCGAAAAAAATAAGGCGCAACGCTGCCATCGTAAACAAAAGCGAGAAGCAGCCGAAATACGTAATTCAAGCGATAATTATTACCTACGTTCCACAAAGACCCTACAAACCCAAAGAGAGAGGGAGAGAGAGAGCGACAGAGGGAGATACAATGAGAGAAGAAGAGAGATCCACCGAAAGTTAAAAAAATATAAGAACACTACACTCGTATGACTGCTTAATACTCGCTCATGGGACGGAAAATGTCAAAATTGGTTAAGAAGAAAATATTTCGATTTGAGTAAAATGATAAAAATAAATAAGTTATTAAAACTCTTACTAGAAGCCCAAGTTTGAGTGAATATTCCAAATATCTGTTAGACAGCATATTGAGTATACCACAAAATCTATATACTCGCTTTAGTACGTAAACGAGTATAGGAAATAATAGAAGCGAGCAGTCGCTGCCGTGTAGATGATTGAAAAGCAACAAAGATTTGCATAGAAACGTGCGATTTTTGTTGTGCTGGCCTCCATCTGGCGAATACCCTTTGTAACTGCCACAGGCATGTTGCACCCACACCGCAGTAGCAACAGTAGCTACAGCAGCAGCAGCAGCAACAGCAGCAGTCGGCATCGTTTGTCGCGCCTGCTGTCAACATGTTCAGAGCTCGAGTCACAGCATGAGAACAATAAAACGAATTTGTACTCACTGTACCGTTTGGTGTCTTCTGCTGCTGCCTTCAATTGCTCATCCATTCATGGCGTCATTTCCACAGCAGCCAGCCGGAGGCCACAGTTGGGACTTCCAGCTCCCAGTGGCAATTTGTTGTTGGCTTCTTAAGCTAATTGCAAATAACTGCAATTAATCTAATTAAATTTTGGGCACCAGAAAGGTCTTCGGATTGGTTCATCTATTGTTGTCTGTCCTGTACATCATTTATAATGTGAGTGGGCACATTTTTAATATACGACAAACCTTTTTGAAATTTGCAAATGTGTTTGGTCTTTTTTCGCTTGTAGACCCAAAAATGTCGCAGCTTAGGCTTTGTTCTGACCGAAAAAATGTCAAGATCAAAGTTGGGAGATATGTAGCAACACTTTGATTAATGAAGGTATTATAAACGAGACACATTTTTGTGTTTTAAATTTAAATAAATGAGAATTACACATTAAATAGATATAAGAGATAAAAGACAATTGCGAAACCAAAACTGGGCTAAATAAAAGTCAATTGAATTGAATATATATATATACCATTCTAACGTAAAGAAACTGTCAAATAAATTATAAAGCTCTAGATTTATTAAAAATCTTTGTAATTAACAGAAATGAAAACATATTTTATAGAGGCAATTGGGTTTTACTCATTGAAACTTGAATTTAACTGACGACATAGCTCTAAGATCTTATCTGCAAAGACCGAAGCAAAATATATATAACACCAGCTTAGTGTGCACCGCACATTAATTTCCAATGCAAGCCGAAACTTGAAATCGAACTGCTCATCCAACGGGAATGTCAATGAGCATATAATATTCTAGAAAATAAATTTCAGCGACAACTTAACAGATGATCTCAAACCTAAACCACTCTCAATTGAAAGTGACAAGCGAACAACAATCGCATGCTAATGAAAGATATATATATATAGAGTATGTGAAAATAATACATATAAATGTGCAGAGTGAGGCGGACTTATCGACATAATATGCCGGTTCTATTCCAGACTCGCAGCAACTACAAAAATTTATCTTTTATTGAGCATTTTGCAAAACTGCACATCAAACCGCAGGGCCTGAACTCTGACCCTGCACAAACTCGAACTCAAACCACGAATCACGAAGCAGATAAAAAGAAGGAAAAAACAGATTTATGCAAGTTCGGTGCAGAGTTGCCAACTAGCTGGTAGCATCCATCATTATCGAACGACATAGGTTTTCTTTGCCAGCCAGGAACTACGGATAATCACTTGATCGCAGGCAAATCATTTATTGTGACACGATGCCCAATTGCAAATTGTGTTTATCAATGCAGCGAAAATCTTCAATTTGCCAACTTGTTGAGCCAATTGGCCATCTCTCAACTGTGCGCTCTCAGCCTGTTGCCAGGTTGTCTGTTTTTATGATACTTATACGAGCTGTAATCATCTCTTTTTTGTTTGATGAGTTTTATATTATCATTTTATAATTTGCCTGGGAACAGCAATAATTTCTATTTTTTTTCTCTGTACGTTAGCTAAATAACCCAAATAGAAATGAGATAACTTTGCAAGTGCAACTGCGATAGCTGTTTGCACTGCGAATATTAGATACGAATTAGATACTCTAATTCTTGATCAGCTACAAATACAATATACCTTTTATAACCCTTAAATTTTTCCGTTAACTTCTAACTAAGCACTAAGCACTAAGTTGGATAGTATGCGAGTTTCTTCCATAATATTATGAAATTATGTTGGAATCCAAAACAAAAACTTATCTGTAAATGATAAAAATGAATACGACCAAGCTTACCTCGAATTATTTTTATAGATAAGCTGTCAGTCCCTAGAGAACTTATATAGAATAAATGCAATAAACTACATTTATTATCTAAATAATAAATATATAAACTAGTCTCGTAAATAAATAAATTACACCAAACATAAAAATAATATGAATAGTATAACTAAATGATTTATAGAAAAGCTAAGTTCGCTTACATTAAAGATAATCCAGCTCGAGTAAATATTTATATTTATAATTGTAAAAGAAGAAGATAAATTATTATTGCACTGCTTAAAGCAAACTAAACCATGTTTTATTTGATTAGAGCTCGGCTTATCTGTGGCTCACTTAGGTATTCGGCTAAGTTCCATATTCAAAAGTATTTTCAGATTCAGCTCGAAATGCTCACGTTCAGAAAATAAACACTTTTCGAGCTAGGTACACCTGGCAGTGTAAAAAAAGTCAACAGATTTACCTCAAAATTATTTACATTAGCACATATCTAATCTTGGCAATAGGGTTTTATTGAGCTGACTGAGATTTGTCTCTATAAAAGCACATGAGAAGCACATTCAGAACGTTTAGTAGACATCGGTACGCAGAACCTTCCACATTTTTCAGTGTTAAGAAAAGTTAAAATGGTTTACAGTGTTGTTGAACAGAAGGCGAAAATGTTTAGTGCGCGTTATCGCTGGCAGGCTATAGCCACCATGACTGGTGGGTCCTCTGTGAGATTAATATGTGCTATCTGAATAATCAAAGCATCATCGTATTTGTATTTATACCTGTGAAGTGCACATCATGACCTTGGTACACGGCGTTGGCGTGGGCTGGTTGGCACCATCGCTGTTTTTTCTGGCCTCAGATCAATCGCCGCTGAGCAAACCCATCAATATCGAAGAAATTTCCTGGGTGGGTTCACTGATCGGCCTTGGTGCTCTGGCGGGCAATTTAACATTTGGTCTGCTGCTGGACCTTATAGGTCGAAAATTGTGCATGTACTTCCTAGCTATCCCCAATATGGTAAATATTTGCAACTAAATGAGTTTTGCTTAGTCAAGTTTATGTTTGATTGCTAGATGTATTGGATTCTTATCTATGTGGCGACGGATGTAAGTTATCTATATGCAGGTCGATTTCTAGCCGGCATTTCAGGCGGCGGCTGCTATGTAGTATTACCAATATTTGTCGCTGAAATCTCCGATACCAAGTAAGTGGATGTTGTTAAAAATTAAAATTGGTAAAGAGATCTGTTATAGTACTGGCAGTGCACAAATCTGTGTAGATGACTTTACAACTATGTTTATCTTCACACTTGCCAAGCACTACTTTATACAGCAAACAAACTGTTTTACTATATCATAAACACCTAATCTATCATGCCAGTGAATTTTCTTTAAACTTGATCTTTATGTAATTGCTTTCTTTTTCAAACTCTTCCAGCATACGTGGCTCACTTTCATCCATGGTCATGATGTATGTTAGCGTTGGCATAATTATCGGCTATATACTCAGCTCCTATCTCAACTACTATATAATGCCCTGCGTAGCTATATTGCTGCCAATCGCTTATATGTTTGCCATAATTCGCTTTCCTGAGACGCCGCAGTACTTGCTGCGCAAGGGTCGAAATGAGCAGGCAAAGAAATCCTACTGTTTTTATAAGAATCTCAAATTCACTCAACCAAATAGTGAGTCAGCCAATGTTGATACTGAAAATGAGTTTGCGACTTTCAAAGAACAAGTGCTTAGCGGTGGAGTGCAACATAATGTGGGCTGGAAAGATTTCTGTAAGCTTGATACTAATAAGATGCAGCTGCTATCATAACTTTGCATTATGTATGCGTTATGCTTACAGCTAATCGGATGACCATGAAGATTTTCGGCTTGAGCTTTACGCTGGTCATCTGCAATCAGCTGTCGGGCAGCTTCGCACTCTTCAACTACACCTCCCACATATTTGCAGAACTACATTGCCAGATACCCACGAATATCTGCATCATTACAGTGGGTGCCTCCCAGGTGGTGGGCATAATATGTACCGTCGTTTTGGTGGACCGTGTGGGGCGACGCCGCCTGCTACTGATATCCATGACAGGCATGGGCCTGGGTGAGCTGAGCATTGGATTGCTTGACCAGTTTGCCTCTAAAGAGTTTCTAACCGAAACCAATTGGCTTGCTCTACTGCTCATGAGTTTCGTGGCCTTTATAGCTTCATTGGGCATTATACCATTGGTATTTCTCGTTATTATTGAACTATTGCCCGCCAAGGTAAGTAGAGATAAAGCTGCATAATCGGTTGATTCTCATAACTCATGTATTTGCACCTATGTCCTATCCAATAGATACGGTCCATTGGCACCTCCATTTGCATGGCCACGTTAAGCATCTTTATCTTCGTCTCGCTGAAGATCTATCCGCTGATGATCTTTGACCATGGCTTGGCAATAACCATGTTTGTATCTACCAGTGTCTGCTGTATTGGATTGATAATATTCGGTCTCTTTCTGCCGGAGACCAAAGGCAAACTGCTGACGAACTAATTGCCGACGCGTGTAAAATATCTGTGTTGCTCTCGATTATGAATTCGCCGACCGGCATCAATCCCAGCGACCACGGCAAATTGTCGCTTTTGTATGGGCGAATCGTTGCATAAGCCGGGATTACCATTATGAGTGTGAGTGAGCGAGTGTTACGAGTACTCGCTTGTCAAGACAGTGAAGTCGAGGCAAATCAGACAACTGCTAGCCGCAAATGGGGCTTGAGGAGCATGGGGCTCATCCTGAACTCTTGAACTTAATTCAATTTCAGCCTTTAGCTATTGTTGCTCAGCTCACATTCGCAGTTATTGTGTGTAGTCTTTAAATATTATTTAATTTTGCCTGGAGAAAGTCTGAGCGCTGTGCTACGAGCTCGTAGCGTTTGCCAATCAGTTAGCTATAGGTACAAAAATAATGAAATTACGAAGGCTTAAAGCCTAATATTATTCATAGAAAATATTTATTTTCCGAAATAAAATCATGGGACACCCAAACTTTACATAACGGAATCAATAAATTTAAAGAATAAAATTTTTTAAATTTTTAATTTAATTATTTAATAATTTTCACAGTTCTGGATCCTTAGGCCTTGAAAAATAAGTAATGTCCAAAATTAATGCATTTTTCTACGCCTATTGAGGCGTGGCAAATATGGAAAATATATATATCTACAGTTTAACGGTTAGAAACGGATCCTGTTGACATCATATAATGGCGACGTAGCGGGAATAAATCTTTTCTTTCAAACTTTTGGAGCTGTCAGCGTTTAGAATGAATGAGTATTATGCAGTCGGTAACGCCCGACTGCAACATTCTCACTTGTTAAGAACAGATTTAACAAAACAACAGATAAAAGGTTACATTTTGCAAGCTAATTATTTATGTTATTCATGATCAATGTAATTTTGAGTCGCTTACAAACTTTTAGGTACAACTTATGTTTTGTTAGGAGATAGATAGAAACAATATTAATTACTATTAATAATTATTATTATTTAAAAGTAATCTAATTTTTTACTCATTATTCTTTTCATTCATATTATTTTTATTTAAAAATGCAATAAACCTAAAACTTCCAACAACTTTTCGCTTTTACTTTTAATTGCTGTCCTTTGTCTCATTACTTGTGGAAAGCACAAGAACAGTGGGAGATGGACTTTGTTCCTCATCTAGATTTGTCATAGCGAAACGTGAGAGGGTACAGCGAGTTTTATATTAAATAAAATCAAATCTTAAAGTTGGCAAAAATGAACGCCAGTCCAAAAAGGTTTGCTACAGCAAAAAGTCTAGTAAAAATACAATGCAGCGTGTAGTTGATATCATAACAGAGAAAAACTTGGCCAGAAAACAATATTTTGGTAGACACGTTTTGCGATTATGAAATGATAAATGCGAATTAATGAATTCGCATCAGCAAACAAACAAAGACACATTAATTCCGAGAAATTATTTATTTGGTTTTGTTTCAGCCGAAATGTGGAGGGATGTGCACGTTCAAAAGTGAGCTTTATGACAGAGGGAGGACACACAAATCTCGCCAGATCGCAGCCGATCTGCAGAGACGATAAATTGTACTCCAAGCAGCCGTAGAAGACCAACAAAAGGCACAATTAACCGCACTTTACGGCTGGCAGCTGGCTTTTCGGGAGTGCAGTCCATTGCAAATGCAATTTCATAATTTTCACACGTTTTTCCAAACGTCAGCTTTCAACTGGTAGCCGTTTTCCCAGTGGCTGACAAGCGGAAATTTATCCACAACGAGGGGAATTGTAACATTTCTTATTTTTTGGGTTGCACTTCGGAGTACTTAAATGCAATTCCAGCTAATTGCAGCCGCTGATTGGGCTGATAAGCGCATACATATTGACCCAGTGCACACAGCTCCCAGAGACTCCCACTGCGGATGACTTGCCGGAAGCAGAAGTAACTCAATTATATGACAGCAAATCGAAGACCTAATACCCTAACAGCTTCAATAGTAATATAAGCCCATAGTAAATATCGAAAGTGATACAGAAAAATATTAAATATAGATCAATTATAATACACAAATTTATGAAGAATATTTTTAATATATTTCCTTCAGTAAACGTACCATGTATAAAGCAGCTAAGTGTACATAAGCTATTAAAACGTATTGTTACATATTTAATAAAAACTTTCATACTACTCTCTTTTCAGGCATATTAGCCACATTCACTTTGTGTGTGGCCAAATGCAGTTTCAATCGCCTTCGGTTCAATAGTGAAAAAGGTCCAAACAATTGCGACTAATGCGAGCGATTTCTCATTGTTATGAGTTTTTGATTTGTGGTTCCACAAATTCCGATTGTTTGCTTTGGATTGTTTAAAGAAAGTGCTCTGGCTGCCAGCTAAATAATCGGCAGCCCATTGTCTAAGCCCGGCCTATGCGCCCACTGACCATTAATAGGCCATTTGCGCTGCAAAATGTCATCCTTTGTATGTGTGTGTGTGGGCGTGCGTGTGTCAATGGCAGCAATATCCGGAGCATTTTATTTTTCATGCCACTCACCCATTGATCTCCATTGATAACGCCTGAAATTGCAAGTAAAATAATTTTGAGTTTCACACAATTGCACCCAAAATTGTTTCTCGATTTATTTATTGTGTCATTGCGAATATCGTTTTCATTTATTACTTTTATTTTGATATTTTTCAATGATGCGACGTTTCTTTTGTCCGCTCTTCTTCGCTGGAAATCAATTTTCGCAATTGTTATACATAATATCGGCTATTTATCTGCTCCAATTTCGTGGCGCCTTTGCGAATTGCCTCGGGTGCGTGTTGTAAATAGAAGCCGGAGCTAACGGAATTACGCATTCCATTTCTTCATTATTACATAATAGTGGGACTTTCAGAAAGATTATTTATAGAAAGGTAGGCGTATTTGTTGGCTACATTAATTAATAAACAATTATTAAAGTAAATTAATTGCAATCAGATGAGCTATACCCAATCAAATATATACTTGGCTTTTGTAAAAGCCAAGCTGTCATACGTAAATAGAATGGTAATTTAATACAATACAGTAAGAAAAAGTTATATAATCTTCTATTTTGTTATCATCAAAATTAGAATTTCATAATATTTGTATACCAAATTCAGATTAGACTTTTTTTGTGTACCAAAGAAAGGGTTGACTGAACTCTTAGAAAGCCTAAATGAAAACATACATAAACTAGTTTCATTTACATTTATTCAAATGCTAACAAAATAAAAATAAACACTAAATTATTCAAATATGCAAGCAACGGCTTGGGCTGACTTTGAAAGCTGACCGTTGGTGTGAAAATTAATAGACGCTCGTATCAAAAATTGTGCTGAATATGAAAAACAAGACGAGCTGACAAGCAGCTACCGTTGAGCATCAGAAAAACACTTCTCTTCGTCTATGAAGTGAAAAAATAGTTTTATGTATGCACAAATAAATTAGCCATGATTAATTGAAAGGTCAAACGTTGAGCAGCAGCTGTGAAGTGCATGAAGACCAAGTTGAGAGCTGGAAGCTGTGAAGACTTCATCAAGGCAGTGTCTCAGCCGAGACGCAAAGACGCTGCGTTAATTGGCAACTGTTGAATGTGTCTCGCGGATGCGCGCAGCATCGACAATTTTTCCGGCTTGCCGAATGACCTTCGGTGAACTGTGGACGGCCAGTCGGGATAGATAGTACAAGTTTTTGGTCATTTAAAGAACTAAACTCAAAATTAATTATATGCCGAGGACTGAAGTGCATAGAAAATTAAGCTACAATTAACAATGAGACTCATTGAAATACTCTGTCCCTCAAATAAGAAAGGTATATAGCAACTGTGCGAAATCTTTGAATTTCCTTATTGAAGCAGAGCCAGCTAGAAAAGAATTAGTTTCACAATATAGGCATTCGAGTATCTTTTAAAGTAGCAGCCATAATTAAATGCTTAGTTTAAGCTCAATTGACAAAACAGAGTATTTTGCAGTTGAGAACTAACACCTGCTAAACTGTTACTTGCTATTTTATTATTTTCGTGTCTTGTAAAGTGACTGCCAATGATAATTAATATACTCAAGTTGTTGCCAGACATCAGCTACGCAAAGGTCATTAAGTCACGACAGGTAGCCGAAAATAATTTCTTATAGAATCTCAACTTAAGCTGCGAAAACATAAATTGATGTTAGAAAATTAATTAAATGCCAGACTCTGAGGCTCTAATTTCGAAATTTCTGCGACTTGGCAAATACTCAAAGACCTGCGAGTGGCATAAAATTAGCTATGATCAAAGAACGGTCCAGAGGGCAATAGAACCATTTGGGTTGGGTTTAACAGCTAATTAGCTAACGATAACTTTCAATTTAATGGATTTCTATTTTCTATTTTCTTTAATTCTAATTTATGCTTGCCAATGACAGCTTTATTTCTATAGGAATTCCATGAAAGCAACAAAAGGTTAATACGAAAATAATCTCTTGGCCAAATATAATAGTTAGAAAGAATCGTCAGCGACTGACTGACAAATAAAGAACTTTCTATACCCTAAAAAACTAGTAAGAGCTATAAATGCTATATGTACTTTGGGTTCAGTTGACCTGGACATGTTCCAAAATGAAATTATTAACGAAAATATTTTAATGAACAAGTATAAAGAGAGCTATTTAGCGTAGAAGTTAACTTTTGAAATTATTGAAGAAAGCTCGAAACAGTCAGGGTACCTTCCAGCTCATCAATCCCGATGAGATCATTCTTATTTCTTTTCCTTACCTAAGTAAGATTCTGACCTTGACTTGGACTTATGTAATCATGAGTTCATAGAAAATGATTGATGGCTCAGCAGAAATAGCTGAGCATTCAACAGAAACCTAAGTCATTTATATTTCTGGAAAGATTACATTATAGTAACTTTCCCTGCAAAAAGGCAGTTTTTTAATATTCTAAAAGGGAAATTTATTTATGTATAGATAAGCTTTCGTTGTTGTTTGTGCCGCATTCTTGAAACTAATTTGTGATATTTATATTCTTTCTCCGGGAGTCTTTGACAGCTGACACACCTGCCACCCGCAAAGCGAAACAATTTGCAATCAAAGCAATTCCAAAGAGGAACTGCACAGACCCACATTAAAATGAGGACAGGTGTTTGCTTAAAGTAAAGCTAAGCGTTTTAAATTGTTGCCTGGCTGTCAGGCAATTTCGTGGGGTCTAGCCGTCCCCTGTTGCCTCAGGTTCGACTGGCAGTCCGAAAGAGCTGTCAGCTGCCACGTGGCACCCGTATATGGCCAAAACACGAGCTGCCCCACACTTCAAGTGGATAAGTCATCAATTATCGAAATATGCAAAATTCTGAGCTCAGTACCAAGTCCAAGTGAACTCGCTGACTCGCCTTTACCCCGCCTCTAGTTGACTCGAGCAAGTCGACAATTATGCTGGCTGCATGTTTACTTTGGGTTCCCTTGTCGCTTGACTCTGGCAAGTTGTTGTAATTTTGGTTATAAAACAAACACAAATGACATTATTCGCACGAAAAACAGGATGGCAGTGGGACGTGGGACATGGGGCTCGGGGCTTGGGGCTTGGGGCTGCAGTTGCAACTGCGGCAGCTGTTGCCGCACGACTTTCTTCTTTAGCTTCTTCGTAGCTGCAACAACAACAATCAATTCGACAGCGACGACATTTGCGCAGGCGCCTTTGTTGCGCTTTAACTTCCGGAAATCACGTTGCTTTTGATAATGTTTTGTTGTTTGTTTCTTTATTTTTTAAGGAACGGTAAAAAAACTAAAAAAAAATACATTGACGTTGTGCACGCGAGTAAAATTACAAAACTAACACAAATTTTAAGTTGTTAAAACTTTTTCCATTATGCAGAAAAAAGAGGTAAATAACAGACTGATTACTTAATGTAGTCATGTAATATGAGAAAATGTTAGGATTCTTTTGGAAGTGATCTTAGTAAAGAAGAACAAAACAAACAAAAGAGTTTTACATTGCCAACATTTTCATTCTCACCATTTGCGACGACCCTTTTGCAAGTCAATAATTTAGCAACTAATGCGAATATAATTAATGGAGCAGCTGGAGTACAAATTGACGCCCCACTTTAGTGGCAGCCAACACTCCCAGAAAACCTATGTAGCTAATGTCAGAGGCAATTGGCTTGGGCGCAAATAATTGAACTCGAGCTGAAGCTGTCTGCAATTGCCAGACATTCTTGATTCATACGGCAGCCAAATGGCCTTCCAAAGTGGCAATCAATTTTTTTCTTCTGTTTTAAGCCGTCTGCTGCTGTTAAGGCAAAAGAGTTAACCACGTGTTGGGACGGTGTTGAAATGTGATGATCCAACGGCAAGTCGCTCGCTCGTTACCTTAACGGCATTTGACCCCCAAGCGCTTTGAGCGTCAGCCACGTTTCCTTTGCTGGCCGGGCCTATTCATTTCTTTATATTATCAAATAAAATATAAAAAGAAACGACAAAGAAAAAGAGCAGCCATGGTTAGCCCAAAACAATATGTTTTTCTATATGCCTTATTTTCTGCACAAATCACTTGACCTTAAGCATTGTTGTAATCTATTTGTCGTTTCCCACACACAAACAGTCGCACACACACAGGCAGACAACGGTTTTTAGAAGCTCAAAGCTGTGTAAACTGTATTACGACAATTTTTGGTTTTGGTTTTTTGGGTTAGTCGGGCTTTAGGTCTCCGTTGAGTCTCTTTTGTGGGCTGATTGTGCAACGATTCCCTGTCTGCCATTGTTGGGGCCTGGGCTGCTGCTTATCAGCACTTGGCTTGCACCTAAAACTGCACTCGCGGCCTGTGCACGGGGTGATATAACAACCAGCGTAATTGAATGCCAGCAGCCATTAAAAAGGTTTCAAACATTGCATTAAATTCAAAAATAATCGGAAGTTCGAAAAAGATTCGTCTGCTTAACAGTTCTTACAAAATTTATGACTTTTGTTATAATTTCCGCTGCATTACTAACATTTTCCGGCTATTAAACTTGCACAAACATGATCAATTATTGTTACATACATCAGTATTGAATATTATCTCACATACGCACAGGGTATATATCTTTGTACCACAGAATCTTGATATATATTCATGTATAGAAAAATGCATTGTATATACGTTTAAAGTATTTTACGACTGATCATGTATCAGCTATATACTATGTAAAGATAGCTAAGCTATTTAATATCCAAAATGTGGCTCTTCTGCAACTACAGGGTATCATTAGCGCATGCTTCGATGGTATCTGCATAGACACCTTAAAAATAACTGTTAAATAACAGGCATTATATAAGCTGCAATGCTTTAATCAAATTAAATCCCAATTACCGCTAACATGCTTCATCCAAATAACTCAACGTCCCCCGCACACCCCCCTCGACTGGACTGTCTCTGATGTGCAGATTCCAACATGTAGTATAACACTTCCGGACTAATAAAACGCCAGGCCTCTCGGCCTCGGCAACATCTTCATTAGCAACAATAATACGATATGTGAAGCCTCCAATTGGAGCTAGGGAAATGGGAGAGAGGCAGGAGCAGAAGTGTTGAGAGCGCTGCTAAATGGACAAAAAGAAAAAGGTTTTCACGCTTTTCCAACCCAGAGGGGGCATCGCATTGGACATCTGCAAGCTGGGCTCGAGACGCCCATTTAAGTGTCCAATAATTCAATCACATCAAACGCCAGTCTAATGGATCGCTAAAATGCCGTTAAAAGGCCTTCAATTACACCAAATTGAGCTAGAGATTTGGTCAGCACCAAGGGAAAGTTCGGAAAACCTCCGAGCTATAACGACAGTAGGCGCTGCTTTTCAACTTCAACCAACTAAACACGTTATGTGTCTAGCAATACAGTTCTATCATTTTAGAGGCTCACGTTGAGCGGCTAACATCGTTTTTCGGCTTCAAAATTTAAAACGAAATTAAATTGTATGTAATCTACGAAATTTTACTGATTTTTTAAATATTATATTCTAAATCTAAGACAATGGTCGCCTTTTAGATTATTTATATTTTGGGTAATGTTTCGACCCCATTTTCGGCCTCCAAATTATTTTATATATGAATTTTCTTCGAGACGCTGTGTTTTTTGTTTATTTTTCTAATGGCGGTGCTCAATAATCTTAAGAAACATTCCGGTAGCAATGAGGAGCCCGAAACCTTTGTCGGGTTTTGCAAAGTAATTGTGCAGGAGCTACTCATATTTTTGATATGTTTTTCGATGTCGGCTCTGGTTTTCGTACTGTTCTTCTCGGCGTTCAATGGCTTGACTGCTAAGAACCTTACGCGTCGACCGCACTCGTACGGAAACTGTTTGTGGCCCGAGGAATGGTGCCGCGTCTTCAACAAAAAGGGTGGCCTGGGACAATAACCAATAAGCAATAAACAATTGGGCAAATATCTTCGTTTTTGAGAAAGTCGGTAATTATCCAGATGAAATGGGTAATCATGTGCTAATGGTATTCATTACTTGCAGATTTCAGTCTGAAGCCGTATGATAGCAACTAAAAATACTACAAGCGCATATGTGCATCTGTAAATAGAAACAATCAGTTTAATCAATTGCACCTTACTTGTCATTAAGCACATCATCTTCCTCCACAACTGTGGCGTCACTTAAAAAGTTCCGAACTGTCGGGTATCTCCTGATCAAGTTTGAAGTTAAATTATATATATATGCCACCGGGCAAATGTCTCTCGTCAAGATTGAGACATAGTCCCGGGTCAATATTAACAATATGCAAATATTTGCATACGCAGCAATAATACCAAACCTTACATACATAAGAAAACGTAAAACCTCACTATGAGATAAGCAGTACGCAGCTCTCAAATGGCCATTATGAATACATGTGTTTTGACGCCCAGCATTTCAATTTGTTTCGGTGGCAGTATAAAGTAAGCCTTCACATCAACTGACAAATCATTTAAATCTGACTCTTCAATAGCTGCATCCCGATCCATTTCCAAAGATGTCTTCCATAAAACAACCGTAATCAACCCCTTCAAAAAAAATATAAACGATCGACATCTTATATAAATATATATGTGAACATCCCCATCCTGTAAATAATTATATAAAATCTTTAATTTAAATCGTATTTTTTAATAAAAATGGTTTCTATTAAAGAATTCAATTTGTTTTATATATGTGTAGCAACGGGTAATACTAAAAAGCGCAGTTAAGTTAAAGTGTGTCTGGCAGATCTACAAGCCAGTGTAGAGTAGACGTTCAGTGTCGTGACCTCGAGGTTTCTTCCTAATGCCATAAGAAAATAGTAAATTTCTCGTATCGGAGTCCCTTGCATTTGGCTCCTATTCAAAATGGATTTTTTGCCACTAGACAGGATCCTAATTGTATAGTAGTCCAATTATCAGTATTAAATTATCTATAGTATACAATGTATAAGGTGACGACGCTACAAAACAAAATTTACCAAAACAAAATTTACCAGAAAAAATTCGAAGCCAAATGACAGCTGTCAATTTGATCAAGCAACATATTCTCATATATTTATATCATTCCATTTGTTTACATCGAAGTTATTTTAACTTTTTGGTTTTAGTCTAAAAAATAAATAAATATATACATATATATATATATATATACATATGATATATGTATATGCATTTATGTAAATGTAAAATATTTTAAAAAGTTCTTAGGTTTCGCAATATGTATTTCGGAGACATTAAGACCAGAAGGGACAGTTGGCTGTACAATCTGTCCAATTGCTTGGGGACACTGCTGCAGAATACCATCTTTTTCATGCTGATGGCCACGTTATGCGTGTTAATGATCTTCACACTGGTTGTTGCGATAGAAGATATCGCCAAGCTGAAGCAGATGCAGAGCTATCGCACCGACCAACAGTCGCTTTCGAAAGCTAGCGGCGATCAGAAAAAGATTGCTCCGTGTCAGTGCCATTGGCCCCCAGCTTGGTGTCGCGTACTCTACAACTGCGAAAAAGTCTCGCAAGATATCAGACGGCCTACGCAAAGTCCCGAACAGACAGAGGAGTTCATGTTACACGAAGTCCAGTTGCCAACGGCAAGGCCTGTACATGGAGAATCCACTACGGGGGTAAACGATTAACTGGATAATCTCTCGGAACATACTAGCGTAAAAGACCTATATATTTTTTCTGGGTAAGCTACGTCGTTTACGAATTTAACTAAAATATATAAATGTAATTGCCTTTGCAGAACTTTTTCGAACACTCAAATTGCGTTTAGCTCAACACGATATTTTGTCATTCAAATTCAGCAAGTTTGATTTATTCAATGGATGCATCCATAACAATAACTGAACCGTCGGGTCGTTCCTGATTTGTTTATCTATATGTAATATATATGCCACCGGGCAAATGTCTCGTCAAGATCCCGGGTCAATTTGGACATGAATCCCCCTTACAACATTTTCTAGCAACATTCCAATTTCCAAACTATGAGACAAGCTTCAGGCAACTCTCAAATGGTATAGCTTTATCTGACACACATCGTACAATCTATTTAATAGATTTCATGACTGCCTAAGATGCACAATCTTAGCGAAATGGATATCGAAAAATCAATGTTGCCTATTTTCTAGGCACAGCTGTAATATTCTTGTTTGGCAATCGAAACGCAAATATTAAATAAAGTGATCAATTTTACATGAAACTCTCAAATATAGCTAATCTTTTAAAGTTTCTTATGAAAGATAGATCATTCATATATACTGTAAAAGTTGTATAATGAATTGAAACGGAAAATCACAGACCCAAAGGAAAATCATGTGAGCCTTTTACCCATTGAAAGTACCTTGATCTATTGTGACGCTAAAAAATATAATAGGAAAAGAACACAAATAGTATTTCCATCAAATGTGCTTGAACAATCGACATTTTTATTGACTTTCAGAATTTGTAAAGTTTTTAAAACTTAAACAGGAACTTAATCACCGAAAGCCTCCGAGCAAAGGCATTGTACGGATTGAAAATTTATCTTTTTTAGAAACTCTCCATTCTTTATATTTAATTTACACTGTAAGAATACACGGACTATGAATATTCCCTTACCCAAAGACCGCTAAATTTATTCAAATACTGAGACATCAGGGTATCTTCCAAACGGGATTTACTCTGGTTACTCGAGTCAGGAACTGTTTTACTCCCTTTCCGATTGTTTAATTAGTTTTAGTTTTGTTTATTATAAAGCTGTAGCATGATTTTTTAACGTTTTAAATAATGTTCGCTTTCACAAGTTTTAAATGCTTTAATAAAGATTACCAATCACAACTAACTCAAGCACAAACTTATAACGGAACTGTTTTGGCCAACAACTCACGATCTCTTAACTAAAAACAAGCGACGATCCCTACTCACGAGATGTGAAATCTCAGATGCTAAAAAAATGGTCGTGTAAGCTTCTGGTGTGATAGACATCTTGGGCAAACAAAGCTGCAAGATTTTTGGTTAAACAGAAGTTGCGCATGCGCATAATGAGTTAATTGAGGTATTGAAAAAAGAAAAAACACAGCTACTTCTATCTTCAATCCAAATGAAATGAAGTGCATAATGTTTGCATTATCATGCTGCACAGCAGCAACATCAACAACAACAGCAGCAACAACAACAACAACAACAATGCCAAGCAGCTGCCACCGCTGTTGAAGGGCAAGAGACAACGCTGTTGTTGCTGTCGTTGTTTTGCCTTGCATTTGACTCGGCCAAAATCGTGGGCGTTGCTGCAATCGACAATGGATTTTCGGGGGTCCTAAGGTCTAGTCGTTGCGGCTGTTGTTTCAATTTGCTGATAACTACAGCTGTATGTATAATTATTTCGCTTCGGCATAAAGACATAAAATTTGCATAGATCCAGCAGCAGCTGACGTCGAGAACGCGAGAAGCGTACCAGCTCGGCCCAAACTATACAATTGCATAATTGCAGCGCCAAGCGAAACTGTCATCGACCAAAGCTACCCTGTATGAGCGTGTAAATGAAACCGACTCGAAGAAGATTCTTTATATGTTGCATAAATATTTAAATAAAAGTCCTCTAGAGTTCGTACTTTATTTGTGTCATTGTAAAAGACTTAATTAACCTTCAGAATATCATGGCCAAGTTCAAAGCTTCAATCAATTCTTTGTTACTTGGAACAGAACATAAATTCCTTGTCTTTATCTATCTTTCTCCATGCTACCCATTGCAACAGCTATCAGATATATAGGGTATAACAAGCACATTTGTTTTGGCTTTTGCCATTGACAACTGGGCGTTTGGTTGGCTTTGTCTTTTATCATAAAATTTAATTAAAATAATAAGTGGTTATAGCGCTCGCACAGCCACCAATTCCTACTTATTTATTTGTGTATAAAAGATTGTGAGAGTGATTTTGCAATATCCAGCGGCGTCTTAGAATAAGATTCGACTGCGCTTTAATAGCATCCCAACACGAAATGGAACGTGCAGCCGCATGGAGCTGCGACGGCTGTAATTCTTGATCAATCAATGATTTTGAATATTTATGAGGTGCACTTAATTAGGCAGAGTTCACAACATTATTACTATATTTATGCATGGCATTTTCCACCACTGACGGCCAAGTTCGTTGCCTGAATCATTTGTTTATGCTGGGAAAGTTTCTTTGCTTAGAACCAAAGCAAGTTTATTGGCCAAATCGAAGTGAAACTAGTATAATACAAAAAAAACCGATTGCGTGTTTGACATTCTCATTTAATTTTATAAATTGCATAATCATGAATGGCTTGAATATGTATTCATTTGGGCTTTTGTTGGCCGGCTTTTGTTGGTGACACAGATTTATTTATAGCAAATAAAATTTGTCAAGTTTTGTTTTGTGCTAAAAGCCGGTTTCGCAGGGGAAATGGGTGCGACAGCAAAGCAAAAGAACTTTTATTGCTAATATACAAAATAATACAATGTCCCATATCTCTGAGAAAAGGCAACAGCATAATTGCTATTTGAAAGTGCTCAACTGAATGCGTCATTGGGCTTATGCTAATTGAGAACTTGTTAGCCAATTGTAGCTCTGCTGTCATGCTGTGACCGAGAAATGGAAAACAAATTGGCTAACAGCTACGCACCTATTCGAAGCAAACACTCTCCATGGAGTGCTGAAGACAATATTAGGCTAACTTTTGGCTGTGCCCGATTGACGAGCCTTTCTCCATTTGGCCATTTGCTGGTTTTTGGCAATTAAATAAAACATGCCGCAGTTGGCTTCGGCTTACATAACCATATGTAAATTATGCCAACAAATGAAGAAGAAATATTGCACGAATACGATGCGATGCGGTGCGAGTATCGCATGCACACAGCCAGCAGGAACACACCTCAAAAAGAAGTCAGTTAGCCAAAAGGGAAGCTCAAGCTGGTAGCTGCCTTCAGTTACCTTCCCACCTATCCAGCCAGCTATCCACCTATCCGTGTGCACATGGGCTCCACATGGGCACAGCCCAGCCCATGCAAAAGACTGGACCGCAATTGAAGCGCAGCCATTGACAAGATAATTTCCTAGGAGCTGCATGCGCGCAGTAAATCCACTTGCATACTCTAAGCGAACAGAGACTATGACAATATCAGAATGTTTCCTTTGAAAGAACTCAAGCTCAAGTCTTAATATTTATTTTTAGGGTAACTAAATAAAAATTGAAAGCTTTTACATAATCTCTATTTAATTTATAAAATATTTTTAAAATTATCCAGAAACTCCATTAGCCCAAGGAATATCTTTCTGCAATTTAAGATCTATTTAGAATCAATTTTATTTATTGCATTCGCAACACAATTTCACATTCGTATTTATCCTTATAAGAGTATCGAGGTTTTTCAATAGCTAATCTAACTTTGCATGTCCATTGTCCGTCTTCGTTTTACAATTTGTACGAAAAGGAGAGAAGAGGAAAAAAAGCTGGCCACGACTCAGCTGGCTGAAAAGCATAAAATTGGCTAGTTTCGCAGTTCGCGTTAAGTTGACTGACTACCAATTGTTTTGGCCACGAAGCTGCGACTCCTTCACGAATTATTTCAAACACAAACTGCCGCCAACATTCAAGAAGGTTCATAATTATCAATACCCCAAGCCGTTTGCGGTCTTTGTGGGGCTGTGGCTTCTGGAAAATGTTGAAACCGTTCGAATGGTAAAAGTCAAAAAGAAGAAAAAGCAGAAAAAAATGTAACTATAGGAGCTGCCAACTGCAGCTGCTCTTTAGGCCAAGAGTGCAAAGCATCGGGTTAAATAGGTCTGCCAGACAATCGAAATGTGTATTTACATTACTTAAATATTCGATTCGTTTTGTTCAGCTAGGGTCATATTCCACTGGGAACAGACCTACCTCAGAAGCAATTCCAAATTGATCTGCTTTTATTGCTCAATACTTCCGTATTCATCTATATGATTTATTATGCACCGCTTGAGCTTATGCAGATGATAAATATGCTTTTAATTGAATTATGTATATGTACTTAATCGTATTAGAGGCGAGCCATAGCAAATTAGTTTTTTACTAATGTCTGCAGATAGTGTGTGTGGCTGAGTGTTGCATGCAGGTCAATCTCAACGCACATCTGACAGCTGCCCTCATTTCTATTAATTTCATCTCTATATACAATAGTTGACACTGAAATAGAAACATTTTGAGGACGTAAAAAATAAGTCAATAAATTAAAAATAATTAATCATTTATTCCTATAAGCAGTTTTACTTAATAACTAAATTTTCTGAAATTTAAAATTAAAATATAGAAAAAAAATGATGTTCTTTTGCACATAGCATATCAGTTAATCATAGGTAAAGAATGTATATGAAATGAATATAAAACAATCAAGTGGACCTAATTAGATGACGCTAATTGTATTTATTTGTATTATTTACACAACAAACTAATTTGGGCACTTACAAAAGAAATGAACTGGAGCAAACGATTTGTGTTAAAATCTTTTTCCATTGAACGGCCCCAACATTAAGTCTTAAGGGCAACCGCAAAACATCGTCAGCTAATTTTTAGCACTTGTTGTGCCCAATTTCTTTGGTCGGAAGCACAGCGCCCACCACTTCTCTGGCATGGAAAACCGCAACGGTGATAGGGGGCGTTCGAAATGAATACAATTTTTGGCTGAATACAAGAGACCGGGTATATGAATAAACATTGGCCTGGCTGTAAAAGTTGGCACGTTGATTGTCTAAGCGGACTTACATAACCTCATTTGTGAGCCTTATGTGTGCAGCTCGCGTGATGTCGTGTACGCAGATACAAATAAGAGGAAAAAGATACACCAACAAGTGCACTACACGAGATTGAAGTTGAAGCGTGCGGAGCACACAAGTCGCGCTCCGTTTTTGTGGCCTGAATCTATTCAAAATACATTAAGAGGGCATGCGGGGTTTAAAAGAGTATAAGCTACACGCAGCAGGAAGCATATGCTGCACATAACTCAGGACTAAAATTGGAATACATCCTTGCAATCAACACAAACTCATATTACAATTATTTTTATTTCCTCTATGTATATTGAAGCTAAAATCCGTCTAACTCAATCATAACTGAAGGAGAGCTTTGCCTCTTTCAATGAGAACAAACGCTTGTTGAGATGATTTACCAAGTCATAAAATTAAGATTAAAATAGTATACTATATAATATATAATATAGAGTTAACCTTATACTGGTTTTACAATTAAGGGACAGGGTATTTTGCGGTCGGGAACTACCGATGCTGACTTGATTTGGGTTTCGAATTGCGCTGCGTTAGTGGGTCTAGTTGTTGATGATTATTTGGGTGGCAACTACCTTATTTTGTTTTAATAAAGTTGTTAAGTCTACATTTTTGTTATTAATTTTTTATCTTTTGATACTATTACTATTACTTATTCACAATAGATTTTTCTATACAGAGGAAGTTGCATTGTTGGGTCCAGAGGAAATGTTTAATGGGCTCCAATTAAAGCTCATAGCCAAATGAATAATTTTTTTAAATATTTATTAGCCAAGTGTCATTGAACTCGAACCGAGATAGCTCATAAATAAAACGGGAAGACTCTAGTTTGTCCACACAATTATGCTGTGTGGCAATTCTGGCCACAATTGTGGCGACTTCTGCCAACCAAACAGGAGGGCGTCGCATGGTAGCCAAAAGCCAAAGTTGAGGCGACGCGATCCCAGCCACGGCGACTGTTTGCAGCAATTTTGGATCAATTATATAAAGTTAACTAGCGACTTCTGCAGACATCATCATAGCCTCGGCGCCTTCATTGTTTGGCTGACGATTGTCCAATGCAGCTCACGATTTATTCAATTTTTTACTCCCCCTCAGTGTGTTGTTGTTTTGTTACTATTTATTATGAACGAAATTCATTGAATTCCATTGCAGCTAAATAGGTATGCACTATGGCTACAAATTTTGGGCAACAGCTCTCCGAATGGGACTGAAACTTAAAAATTTATAAAATATTCATATAATAGAGGAAAATATTCGAGCTCTATTCGTCGCGCTTTGCCAGCTCTTCCAGGAACTTGGCGCTGTGCATCTTAATAAGCTTGCGACTCGGCACATTATCCATCGTCTTGTTCTCGACGAGCAGATCATCGTTAAAGTGTTCGATCTGTTGTTCATCGTCATCCACCTGCTCGTACAAATTGTGATTGGCCAGGTAATCGGCATGATACTCTTCCCTGTTGCGAGCTATCAAAGCCGGTTTCATCTCCATCAAATAGCCCTTCATCAGCTTATACAATTTGCGCTTCAATACGTGCATTACAACATCAACTGTGCAGAAATCAAATACGTGAGAAGAAGGAGACTCTGTTATCAACTACTCAACTGTTTTCCTCGTAAATCTCTGGTGCTGCAGCGCGCATATTGAGCATCTCGAATTTCAGAAGCGGCAATTTCAAATACGAATTCGGATAGTAAGTGCGAAACAGCTTTGGCTGACGATCCACGTGACGCAGAATTTCAATCAAATTCCAAATGCTGATCCTGCAAGATATTGGAAATAAAATAATGTTGAATGGCATCCCAAGATCCAACGTCTCAGCTATCGTCTATCCATATATTCTACATACTCGATGTCTCCCATATGAGTATTTTCGCTTACCGCAACATGACAAACGCATCGCCGCGATTCTTCAGATACGTTAGCGTATCGCGCTCTTTTTCGCTCTCAGTGGCGAGAGTCTTGCGTAAGTCCTTCAAGAGCTCCAGTCGACTATTGAAAATGAGTAAAGCTAACTGGAAAGCGCAAATTAAAGAGAATCGTCTCACTTAATTTCTTCCTCGGATAAATTATTCATGAGCACGCCCTTCAGCACATTGGCGCACTTCATCTTGGACTCAAGCACCTCGTGGGCCATCATGTCGCACTCGATAATGCGATACAGCTTCTCGTTGTTGTCCACCTGGCTCTTCATGCTGCAAGCACAAATTTGTGGACAAAATGATTAACAACTATCAGCGGGATTACCGTGGATATATTTCTGTAGCCTGTGAGCAAAGCGTCACAAACTTCACTTCCTCGATGGTCTTCTCGACAGACTTCAGCACCAGCTTAAGCACCACCATGCTGCGCGTCTCCCGCAAATAGCGCTTCGGGTCGGCGCTGGCAGCAATTTCCTCTTGGGGCTTAGCACGTGTTGACGGCACTAAAGAACTGAGGGGTCTTATGTTCTTATAGGAGGACAACATTTGCAGTTTGGCGTGTAGGCTCTTCCGTGACTTATCCTCCAGCAGGCGATACTCGGAATTAAGTGCCTTAAACTTGGCTATAGCCGGCATACCCAAATAGAGTATGTGCTTTATAAAGTTCGCTTGATCCTCCATATCGCCGTCGAGAGAACGCAGTATGGGCTCGTAGAATATTGCATCGTGCCGGAGTACCTGTATCATCTTGATATATGTGCTATTGATAGCCTTGACCGCCTTCAGACGCACATTCGAGTTCTCGATTTTTTTGATAAAGTCACACGATTTAATCTCCTCCTCCAGCATATATTCATTCTGATATTTGATGCGATTTTCTAGCAAAGCCCGTTTCATCTGCAAAAATCAATGTGAATGTCATATCTTATAATATAACGCTCTTAATACTAGTATTTCCTTGTATCGGTCCTTGAGCTGGCCCAGTCGGCAATCCAGACGATCACGCTCTTTGCGCATGACAAACGTACGCTGATTGATGTTGTCTACAACCTGATGAATGGGCATCCTTTGGTATAAGCGCTGCATATCCTTGTGCTCGTTTAGAAAATTGCGTATCTGGTGGGTATTCTCTCCCATACGGATATTCTGAAGCTTGGCCCGACCATCACGACACTGCAATTTTAAGCGTTTACTCTCTAAGATATAGCGCTGGCGATTAGCCTTCGTTTCGTGCCGCTTAAAGATTGCACGACGCGCTAGAGGTTGAGCTACAGTTAAAAGCCAGTATATATATATATATTTTAGTATCTCACTTGCCTAGCAAATCAGACATGCCAATATATTCCTCGGTCAGAGAACCGGGTGTCCAACGATCGTCCACCATCACATGCTGACGCACAAAGGACATGCCAAAGAGTCCATGAAACTGCAAGGACTGCGGACGCACGGGCTTGGGAGCCAGAGCATCCTGATCCCTCGACTTCGCACGACGAGGTACTTGCGAAATGCTCTTCTCCCGCTTAAAGCAAGGCATTGTAAATGTTATTAATATTTTTGATAACACAACAAAAATGTACTTTTGTGCAAATTAAATAAACTGTATTTAACATATAAACCATAAACAAACATAGTCTGAACAAAAGCAATGAAGGCAAATTCATTGGCAACCTCAGTGGAAAACAAATTTAACAAATCTAGTATTCATTTTCACATACTATAAAGAGGAAGAAAACAATGGAGTGCGGGAGTACCAAACCGGAAGATACCCGAACGTGAATAGTTATCGATTATTTGAAACAAACTTGATATGCATAGCAAGCCTCTATATAGATTCTGACTAGATCGACTCAGCTCGTCTTGATCAGAGTTTTATAACACAGTTGCAAAAAGGCTACCAAGCTGAAGCTGACAACCGACTAAAATTTGCTTTTTGTTCAGATTGGCTTGACATTTCGTCACTAGAGCAACGCTTGCATCATCAAAATAATATATTAAAAATATATTTCATGACTATGATGCAAATTGTATACCCGATCCAATTAAATAAAACCATTTATATATGCTTTTTTGTGAGTTTTAGTCAACTGATCAATAAATACTCATACACTCTATGCATTATATATTCTAAGTGCTTGCTCAATACATTTGGCACTTTCCAACTTAATCTGATTGCGATTGAGTACATTGGTCATGGACCTCTCATTTACTAACTCCCGACCATCAGCCGCCGCCGGCCCCCGATCTTCATCCGATGAAAAGTCTAGTACATCACAGGAGCGCAAATAATCCGAATGATACTTCTCTCTATACTGTTCTACTTTGGATTGCATATCCGAGTTGTAGGCCTTCATCAACTTAAATACCTTGCGCTTGAGCACATGCATAATACGTTCAACTGTTTACAATAAGATATTAATTAAATGAAATTTTATGAGTGCATTTTTCGACTTACTGTCTACGTCGTACAGCTCAGGGGCATGAGCATACGTATTTAGCATTTCAAATCTAAGCAGAGGCAATTGCAGATACGAATTCGGATAAGTGATGCGTCTTACTTTGGGATTACCCTCTACATGTTGCAATATTGCAATAAGATTCCACAGAGACCAGCTGAGTATATAGATATAATTTTCATATTATAGTAAGTCATAGTAAGTACATAGAATTATACGAAACTCACCGAAGCGTAATGAATGCATCGGCGCGATATTTCATATGTCTCAATGTGTCCTGCTCAAATTGTTGTGCCTCTGCCAAAGTTGTTTTCAATCCGTTTATTTGGCTGAGACGCCTGTTAAATATTTCAATTATAACTTAATTAATGAATAACTAAATTATTACAAAATAACATACTGAATTTCCTGATCCTCCAGATTATTGGCTAAAAGACTTTCTATCACAGTGGCGTATGTGACTCTGTCCTCGAGGGCATATCGAGTAATTTCTTCAAACTCAGCGGTTCTGGACAACCTGCGATTGCGTTCAATCGCGGTCTTCATCCTGCAAACACAAATTTACTTAAGCTGCTCTTGAAGGTCTGCTGTATAAACTTACCGCGGATATATTTCCTTGGCTTGGGAGCACAGAGTACCGACTTTCAGATCCCTGATAACACCCTCGATGACCTTCAGTACATTCTTGAGCAGTAACATACTATGTGTCTCCCGTTCATACAGCCTGCTATTGGTCCCCTCATCGGCCTTCTTGCTCATCTGGCGTTTATATGCGCCATCGGCGTCCCTCCCTTGGACTTTCAACGATCCTAAAATACTCACCTTCTCATGTATGCTCTTCCGAAACTTTGCCTCAATCTGGAAATACTCGTACTTGAGTTCCTTAAACTTGACTATGGCAGGCATGCCCAGATGGAGTATGTGCTTAATAAAATTCGTCTGATCCTCCATATCGTCACTGAGAGAACGCAGTATAGGGTCGTAGAATATAGCATCTTGGATTAGCACTCGCACCATTTTCTTATATGCTAGATTGATGGCCTTGATGGCTTTCAAGCGCACTTGCGAGTTCTCAATTCTCCTCATAAACTCACGCGACTTGGACTCCTCCACCAGGACAAACTCATTCTGATATTTTATACGGTTTTCTAACATTGCGCGATGTTTCTACAAAATATAATATAATGTATAATATATTTCTTATAATATATCTCTTAGCTGTTAGCCAAAGACCCACCAGTTGCGTTCTATATGTATCCTTCAGCTTACCCAGTCGGCACTCGAGACGATCGCGTTCCTTACGCATGACAAATGTGCGCTGATTGATGTTGTCTAAGACGAGATGGATGGGCATCCTTTGGTATAGACGTTGCATGTCCTTGTAGTCGGTCAGTATGTTCCGAATGGCCGCCGTATTATTGTTTGAGAGGATGTTCCGTAGCTTGACAAAACCATTGCGGCATTGCGATTTGAGTCGCTTACTTTCTTCAATGTACCGCTGTCGATTGATCTTTAATTCGTGTCGCTTGAAAATCGCATTTCGAGCTATAGCAGAAACCACAGCTCAGCCCATGCAACACATCTATGTATATATTGCTTACCCACCTAGCAACTCGTTCATGCCAGACAATTGGGAGTATAACGACTCGGGGCTCCAGTTAGGGTCCACTATGAAATGCTGGCGCACGAGGGGCATGCCAAATAAGCCGTGGAATCTAAGGGCACGCAGATGCACCGGCTTTGGGCCCAAGTCATCTCGAGCAAATTGTTTACCCCGACGCGAGGAACATGCTACACCTCTTTCCACACCCATTTTTATTTTGTTTTTATTTTCTTTGCTTTTTTTTATTTTTTTTTATTTTTATTTTTAGTTTTATTTATATACGTTATGTATATATAACATTTTTTTTACAGTTTTATTGAAGTGTTCCTAACGAATGAATTAACTTTGAAAACAAGAGACTCGTTTGGGATTCAGAATGACTCAATATTCAAGGACTCCTAAATTAAATACTTTCAACATTACGAACGAGTTCGAAAACTGAAACATATTTGAACTGAGTGAAAATAAAACGAAGTATATAAGTGATAACGAAGTGTAAAGTTTATTAATGTTTCAAGCGAGATTTGAACACTCATCCCGCTTGATACGGTCTTCCACTATCTTGACACTCTGCGCCTTTATCTGTTTACGATTCGGTACACTGACCATGGCCTTATTCTCTTCCATTTGATCGAGACCCATAGATATGCCCACATTGTGATCGGCGTCCATTAAGAGTTCCAATTTGTTCGAGCTTTCCAAAAACGCGTTATGATATTTTTGTCTACTTGTTATCAATTCAGACTCCATTTTGGCTGATTTGTAGGCATTCATCAGCTTGTATATTTTATGCTTTAGTAAAACCATGAGTTTTTCGACTGTTTAAAAAAGAAATTATGAAAATACATTCCTCGATTAAAGCTAAAGCAAAACTTTACGGTCAACTTCGAATATCTCGGGTGGAACGGAATATACGTCGAGCAGCTCAAATTTCAGCAAAGGCAATTTTAAATACGAATTCGGATAGCTGACACGAAAAGTTTTAGGACTTTGATCAACATGCCGAAGAATTTCAATAAGATTCCATATCATTATGCTTAAATATTATCAAATATAAATAAGGCTAGATCTGATATATATATGTATTTGTTTGATATTTAACTCTTACCGAAACAATATGTACATTTTAGATCCATCTACTATATACTTCATAGTCGACTCTTCAATCGACTTGCCATTGTTTAGCGCAGTTTTCAGAATATTAATGTATTCCAGGCGACTGGATATTCATATAAATATATATATATATATATATTAAAAGGGAAAGGTATTAAAGATATCCTTACTTCATCTCCTCATCGGATAGATTAGTAACCAAAGCATCTCTCAGCACACTAGCGCCTTTCATTTTAAGTTTGAGCATATAGTGACTCTGTCTATCGTGCTCAATCTTGCGGTGCAGCTGCGTATTGTTCTCCATCTGACCCTTAAACCTTTAGACGCAAAAGATAGACTACGTCCTTGCGGGTTGTTTACATACACTTACTGCGAATATATCTCCTTGGCCTGGGAACAGAGTGTCACCATCTTCAGTTCCTTGATGGTCTTCTGAACCGATTGTAGCTGCACCTGTAACTGCTCCATGCTTTTCGTCTCACGAACATACCGCTTGGGATTTGCGGATGGAAACTCCTTGTAGTTAACAACACGACTTACGGCCCGCGGTTTCTGCAGCATATTAAACATATGTGACACACCTTGAAAGTGCCTACGTGCCTTTTCCTCAACGCCTTGGAAAGTTAAGTTGAGCTCTTTGTACTTGGTTATGGCCGGCATCCCCAGCCATAGTATGTGCTTTATAAGAGCCACCTGATCGTTCATATCGTCATCGAGAGAGCGCAATATGGGTTCATAAAAGATCTCATCCTGCAACAGGACCTTTATCATTTTATGATATGCAGTATTAATATTGCGAATGGCTTTCAGCCGCACATTAGAATTCTCAATTTTCTTCATTATTGTACGAGATGTCTCCTCTTCCAGCACATAGTTATCATACTTAATTAGATTCTCAAGCTTGCCGCGTTCTCGCTGTAAATTTGTATAAGTCCGTTATTTTAACGGATGTCTATTAAACAACTCCACTAACCAATAGATCTCTATATTCGTGCTTCAACTGGCCCAGGCGACACTCCAGACGATCTCGCTCCTTACGCAAGACAAAACTCCGCTGATTGATATTGTCCACAATCAAATGCATGGGCATCCTCCGATAAAGACGCTGCATATCAATATGGTTACCCAGATAGTTACTTATCTTATGGAGATTATCGGCGCTTGAGACATTCTTCAGCTTGGCCCGTCCGTCATTGCATTCGGTTTTTAATAGCTTGCTCAGCTTAAGGAGGCGCAATCGATTGGCCTTCGTCTCATACCGCTTGTAGACGTTGTGACGGGCTAAGGCCAAATTCTACTAGTCAGCCTGCATATAAATAGTTTTTTCCCATTTCACTTACATAGCAGACCGGCCATGCCATCGAACTGATCCGACAGCGATTGGGGTGTCCATTTATTATCCACTATAAAATGCTGACTGACAACGCCCACGCCAAATAGTCCATGAAATCTAGCGGGACGGACATGCACCGGCTTTGGAGCCACGCCATTACTTCCCTTTTTCTGTTTACTTAGGCAGAACTGAAGGCTTTTTTCTTGCTTGAAGCAGGGCATACCGTTATCTTATTTATATATTATATATTTACACACCTACAATATATTTATATTTATATTTTTTTATATTTTTATATTTTGTTTTATTTTTATTTTTGTTTTAGTGTAGTGAACCTAACTATTGTGTAATGTCTGTAGCGTTAAAACGAACATTTCCTCATATACGTTCTCATAAATTCGAACATGATTCCAAGGCTTGCCATATTCATATATTTTAGAAATTATTTTGTATTTATTAGAGTTGATTGCATTAAGTAACCTGGCAAAAAAGATACTTTATAGTGATTGAACTGATTGAACTTTATTTAAAAGTGAAAAAGAAAAACAAAAGAATAAATATATAGATATATATATATATATAAATCTCAATGTTGCTCAGTAAGTAGCCAGGAAACTTTTATGCTACTTTTCAACAAACTGAAATTATACTGAAAACGGTTGTGCTCTAAAAGCTCTGGCATTTAATTAACAGCAATTTCGAATCGGAGCTTTGATATTGACATCGAATCTTAAGATTCCATGAGCTAAAGTTAAAGGAAACAAATTTTAGATCTTATCCCAGTTTCCAACTGGAATAATCCTCCTTACAGCAACATTACGTAAGCACGTTTATTGATATGATTATGTGGATATCAGTTTCTTCGAATTTCTCATTGTGATGCTTATCGATGCTTATTCCTTTTTATGCTTATTGAAGATCAACTGAACTGTTGTAAAAATATTGGATATACAAGCTTGTTTGCTCAGCAGAGTGTTATAGAACTGGACCATTGATCATTGGCTGCGCTCGAATAGCACTGGCTTCAGCTCATTTTGCTTCTCCTCCAGTGTCTGCCGCTTCGATAGCAGTGTATGTCGTCATTGGCATGGCATTTTTAAAGTATTATAGAATTGTTAAGTATTTATTTATTTGTGTGTGTATATATTTGGGTTTTAGAGTTTACAGTTGATGTTATATGCGTCGCGATTGTAATGAATGATTTGCTTTCACGTAGTCGAATACTAGCACTCGTTTTTAATTTGAAGAGTTTGATAGCAACCGCACAGCTAGTTTTTCTAGAGTATGTATTTACAAAAAAGATAAGTCGACCCGATCAATTACTTTCTATATTGGCTGCTCAAAACGTGGCTCCGAAACTGTGATAGTTAAAGTCTTGGCCGATTTATGACGTCTCTAATACTATACTACATATATTTTTATTGGCTAAGTATTTTCTTTAATAATATGAATAATATAAATAATATTAGACAGTCAGGTGGACAGCAAGACGAGCAAAAAAGGCCACATTACAACAATAGACCGGATTGCAGATAATTAAAATATTAATAACAATTTAGTTTCAAGGTCAGTTTATATTTATGTAAATTGATTGGTATAATTCAACAAATAAATATTCCATTGATCTAACTAATATTTTGTAGATAAAAATATATGTTATATAGATGCAGCCATACACATTTCTCTATATACGTTTTAGTAGTAAGCATTATGGATTTCCTCCAGAAGTTTGGCACTCGAAGACTTAATCTGCTTCCGCGTCGGAACACCGACGTTGGCCCTTTCCTCGTCAGTGCTAATCGCACCGTCATATTCTAGGCTTTTTCGCTTTTCAGCATTGGAACGATATTCAGTCAGGAATCTTTGATGATAGTCGTCAACTAATATGCTTGTCTTCTGATGCGAATCAGGAATCGCGGCATAGCTAAGCATCAGCTTGTAAAGCTTGCGCTTGACCAGACGCATGATCTTATTAACTGTGAATTAATTATTACAAAGTAAATGTAGAACTTAAAATAAATCTTGGTTCAACTCAACTGTCTTCCTCGTAAATATTTGGTGGTATCGAATAAATGTCGAAAAAATCGAAATTGAGTAGCGGCAATTTCAAATATGAAGATCGTAAAAATTTATGGCGAAACGTATAAGGGCCGCGATCAATGGATCTCAGAGTCTCTACCAGATTCCAAAGGCAAAGGCTGCGAATGCAATATAAATTCATTAGCAAGGTCAACAAGAGCTGCCCGAAAATAATACCGTAACATCACGTAAGCTTTGGCGCGATTCTGCAAATGCTCCTTCGTATTGTTCTCAATGTTCTTTTCCGTATTCAGTGTACTTCTCAGCAAATCAATGTACTCCAGTCGCCTATCGATCAGTGTACATATTCATTATATTAAAAAGTTATATAAAATCGTATAATACACACTTTACTTCCTCGTCGGTTAGGTTGTTCACTAAGGCACTTCGCAGCAAGCCCGTATAGCATAGTTTTTTTTCGATCATTTTACGATTTATATTATCTTTATCGATCTGGTGCTTTATGTCTCTGGTATTCTTTATAATATTCTTGTTGCTGAAAAGGACACTTTTTATATGGCCAATCAAAAGTTTTCGTAGACGAACCGTGAACAGATCTCTCTTGCTTGTGAACAAGTTGTAGTGTATTTCAATTTCTTAATGGTCTTCGCGATGGTCTCCGCTTCCTTCTTCAGTACCAACATGCTTTCCGTTTCACGGAAATAGCGAGGATACTCCAGAACATGCTCAGTTTGTGGCACGTCCTTGGTCACAGGGGGCTTAAAAATAGGGTGCTCGGCCAAAAACCCTTGTCGCGCCTGTTCCATCTGCTGAAACTGGTGCTCGAGCCGCCTAAGCCTGCCTACGGCAGGAAAGCCCAGGTCAACAATATAGTCAATCATTTTCGACTGATCCTCAATGTCATCATCGAGGGAACGCAAAATGGGCTCATAAAATATTGCATCGGCCCCTAGGACTTGAGTCATTTTCTTGTACGTTGTATTTATCGTCTTCACCGCCATGAACCGCACCTTTGAGTTTTCGATTTTCTTGAGTAAAATGTTCGTTTTCAATCTCTCCTCTGCACCTAACTGGCTCTCGTTTTTGATGCGATGTTCAAGAGTTAAACATTCGTTCTATTTCAAATAATTTAATTAGTTTTACGCTCGATCCAAGTGTATATGGATGACCTTTTGCAATGCCCAATCCTTACCTGTAACTGTTGCAATTTGAGCTTCAACTGCTCCAAGCGACACTGTAGACGATCACGCTCCTTGCGCATGGCAAATGTGCATTGAGTGATATTTTCCACGACCAGATGTATGGGCATCTTTTTGTAGAGACGCTGCATACTGCTGTGATTATTCAGCATGATTCGGATCGCATGGGACGTGTCGTCGCCCGATAAATTTTTCAGCTTAATGTGCCCTTGCCGGCAATCTTCCTTCAAGCGCTCTGTTTTACTACGGAGAGTTTTGACTCTGTTCTCGAACTCATGCTTCTTGTAGACGGTGTGAATGGCTAGGGTCCATGGTATGCGTGGGATCACGTAATAGACATGTAAGTAATTACTTACCTAGCAGTTTATTTACATAGCTCAATCGCTCCGTTAACGATTGGGGTGTCCAGTCGTCGTCAATATACCCATATCTGAGCAGTGCATGGCGATTGGGGTCCCTAAGACGCACTGGTTTCACTGCTGGAGTACCGCTATGCCCTTTTCGGCGGGCTAATAGATTCGTATTCCGCATGCTGCACGGCATTTTTAAGATATTTTATATGGTTAATATATTTTCAAATATGAAAATATATTTTTAAATATGTATATTTATTTTTAGATACTTATATATATTTTTAAATATGTATATATATATTTAGATATGTATATATATTTATATATATTTGTAAATATAGGATAATTTTTCGTTTTATGAGTTTGTTGTTATGTGCGTCGCGATTGTAATGAATGATTTTTTATATGTAGTCGAATGTTAGCATTTGTTAATTTGATCAGTTTGAAGGCAACTACACAGCCAGTTCTTCTGCACAGAAAATAGTCAAGATGAAACAAATGTAATACATCATCATCTCAAGATCTCGATGCCTTAACTACATTTACTACTGACGAGAATCATTTTAAAGTAGTGATTATTAAGTGCCTGAAATCTTCCCTTACGAGTAATAAAGTCAAGTATCCATTTACATTCAATATATTAATAAATTATGCAATTATAGAAAATTTATAGACATTATGCCAAAACAAACGCTAAGTTTCCTCCCGTTTGACAGCTTCTTCCACTATTTTGGCGCTCTGTGCCTTAATCTGTTTGCGATTCGGTATAGAGGCTATGGTCCGCTCCTCTCCCAAGTCATCAATCTTGGGCCCGTCCTGCTGATCGTCATCAGCTGTTTTGGGAGGCTCGATCTTTTCCATATATTCTCGATGATAACGCTCTCGACTAATATCAAATGTGGCTGCCATATTGGGAGTAAAGCCCTGCATAAGCTTGTAAACTTTGCGCTTAAGGTAATGCATAATTAAATCAACTGTGTAAAAAAGAGGAAAGGTAATTAGATTTCTCTTTTTTAATATTTTTGCTTTCGTTTTCCAACCGTCTTCCTCAAAAAGTTCCGGGGGAAAGGCTCTTATCTCAAGAAGCTCGAACTTCAGAAGTGGAAGCTTTAAAAAAATATTCGGATATTGTTGCTTGAACGTTCTAGTTTTACGATCTATATGACGGAGGATTTCCCACAGATTCCAAACGGACCATCTGTGGCGATGGAGAAGCAAAGAAATATTATCTAGAAAAAATATACTCATATACTTAAGGTATACCGCAGTAGCACATAGACATCAGCCCTATTCTTCATGTGGTTGATGCTATACTCCTCAAATTCCGTATCAGCCTGTAACATCGCCTGTAGCTCTTTAATGCGGTCCAGACGACTGTCGGGCAGATAAATGAGTAAGGTATTTAAGTGAGAAGTAATGTCGGCGCCGACTTACTTGATTTCCTCCTCGGAAAGATTATTTAATAATACATCAGCCAACAGAGTGGAGCATCTCATTTTTTGCTCAAGCACATTTTTGGTCTGTTTGTCCTTTTGAATTACCCGAATGAGCTTTTCATTGCTTTCTAATTGGTTCTTAATGCTACAAAGACGAAGATTTATGGATCTATTAGAGATTCTACAAGCGACCTGAGAGCACTAACCGTGGATAAATTTCTTTTGCTTGCGAACACAATACAGTTAATCTTAGATTTTTTATTGTATTTTCAACTATCTGCAGCTCAGATTTGAGAGTGGCCATGCTTTCTGTGAGGCGAAGGTAACGTTTGGGATTATTCGTTTGTATCTCTCTAACTACAATCTGAGGTGGCCCAATAACAACTGGCTTTTTCAGTGAATTTAATATTTGGATCTTTGATTGTTGACTCTTGCGTGCCTTCTCCGACAGTTGCAATAGTTCACGGTTCAGTACTTTAAACTTGGCTATAGCCGGCATGCCCAGATAGAGTATGTGCTTAATGAAGTTCTGCTGATCCTCTATATCGCCATCAAGAGAGCGCAGAATGGGCTCATAGAAAATCTCATCCTGCAGTAAGACTTGACGCATTTTCTTATATGTCGTATTTATGGTACGTATGGCATTCATGCGAACATTCGAGTTACCTATCTTCTTAAGTAACATACGCGATTGTATCTCCTCCTCCAGGACATTCTCGTACTTTATCAAATTAAGCGCCTTGGACCTGTCCATCTGTTGTATAAGCGCACAGACTATGATCTATAATTAAGTGGGTTCAGTAAAATATTACCAATAATGTTTTATATTTGTGCTTCAGCTGCAGCAATCGAGCTTCGAGACGATCCCGCTCCTTACGCATGACAAAAGTCCGTTGATTGATATTGTCAGCGACCAGATGTATGGGCATCCTCTGGTACAGCCGCTGCATATCCCTGCGCATAATAAGAAAATTTCTAATCTGGTGGGCATTATTGCCGGTCGTTATTTTTTGCAACTTGAGACGCCCATCTGCGCATTCACGTTTGACACGCTTGTTCTCCACCAGGAGGTGGGCTCGATGGGTCTTCGTTTCGTGCCGCTTGTAGATGACGCGCCGCTCTAAGCATCCGCTTAAGATCAGACCAGACTAACTATGCAAATACCTTGATGGATCACTTACTCAGTAGCTCGGCCATGTTTCCAAATAGTTCGGTTATAGAGCTCGGCGTCCAAGTGTCATCAACGATGAGATGCTGGGCTGCAATGGACATGCCAAAGAGTCCATGGTATCGCATAGAACGCGGCCGAACAGCCTTCGGCGCCATCGGATCCCGATCATTTGTGGTATCCCGCCGAGAGCGGAACTCAAGGCTTTTTTCTTGCTTGAAACAGGGCATCGCGACAATGTTGTCTATATTATGTACTGCATAAATTATGTATTTTATTTGATGTGCTGGTGTTGAATCGTAAAATAGAATTGGTTATTTTTGTTGTTGAACAAGGACCTAATGTGATCTGGATTACTAGATCGAATCAAAATGTAAGAAAACACGCAAATATTTCATTTTACACATTTATTTTGCTCTAACATTTTATTTTTATATTTATTTTATTTTTTTTTTTGTTTTCAAACATAAATTCTTATACAATTCGTAAAATGTTTCAATAGAATCTTCTTCGCTTGTACTTGAGTATGTCATATTACTTATATAGTCTGCATAAAATAATTTTCTATATTTTCGTGAAAATATTTGGTGTACATATTCTTTTGCTTTCGCTGGGCAAGAAATTAACTAATAGAAACACATTTAACAGTTTAAAGTAAAGTGTTTATTGTTTATATAATGTGCTCGACAAACTCGTCTTAGACTTATCTACAAGTTATTATGCACATATATCTCTCAATGTGAATAGCCAACATGAAAAGTTTATTTTTTGAAATTTCCGTTTGGTTTTCAAAATATTCAATTTTTTCTCAATTTCTTTTGTTTGCAAGCCAAATTTTGTAATTGTTTTCATTTGGAAATTCTTAGATAGAGACTTTATTTGTTTAGATGTTACTTGAATGTATTTCTTTTCCATAGGCCTAGATAAAGGATTTGTATCGGTTAGGGTTTAGCTCAAACAGCAGCGTACAAATATTGTCATAAAACTCTCTTTTTTCCGTTTGTCATTTATAGTAATATTTGGTGTATAATTTATAATTTACATTGATTTGTTAGATTTTTACTTGCAGCTATAGCTTTCATGAAAGTTCCATGCATGATTGTTGCCTCTAAATATTATTGCATTAGTGTGTGTGTGTGTGTTTTGTGTTGCCTACTCTAAGACGCATCGCGACGCTCCGCGATTTATAAGAAAGTGACGTCTACTCTTAGGCATAGCGCAAAATAGTCAAAGATATTTTAGGTACATGTATTAGGTTCAAAATCTTTTAAATTAAATAATAAATAATAAAGAGCTAAATTTGAAAAGTAAACACAGTTTGCAGTTGGCTCGACAAAGTTTGTATTTGTGTTGCAGAAACCTTTAGTGAGAAACATAAACAAAACAAGTTAAAAAGGCGTTACTTCAACTGCAACAAAAACGCAATAACTATAATTAAAAAGAAATCATTTAAATCGTGTAGTACATATGCGAACTTTTATTTAAACACAGTTCCTGCGTATTGCCGCCCCTTATTTTATGTAAACAATTTTTTAATGATCTATATAAATATATATATAGTATATATTGGATTGGATTTGATTTCTTAATTTTTTGTTTGTTTATCAAACAATTTAATAAATGGCTAATACAACGCATGCCTTAAAACATAATACATATACACACAAGATATATATATATATATGTATATATATAATAGTTGATTTTCATTCGATTTAAATATACAATTATAATAATGCAACTCATCTCAAATTGAAATAATACTTAAAAATATACAAATTGAATTTGGGACCAAATTGAAACTAGCTTGGAATGCTTTTACAAATACGAGTAACTTTTCCTTTATCCTTTTCCACACTGCCATTTTACTTGAAGCCAACAAAGAGTTTTTAACAAAAAAAAAACGTGTAAAAAAATAGACTACAGATAACAATAAAAAACGAATATTTTTGTTGTTTTGTATATAAACGCAGTAAAATATTGCAAAATTTTAAGAGACTCAAATACGCTCTTACTTAAGCATAATTGTAACATAGTTTATAGCTTTATGGCGTCTACAAAGACTTGATTTTAATAATATATATAATTTCCGATAGTGTACAATAAATTTCAGTATTTAACAGATTCCATTTAACGTGTTCTCTTTGTTTGTTTAGTTTTTTTTTAGCTTTAGGTTTAGTGATTGGCGTAGGACACAACTACAGGTTTTTGCTTACACTTATTATGTAGGGTTTACATATATGTATGTAGGTATATTTCACATAGGCTACTTTATATTTTTATATTTCGTTTTTATATTTGCTTTTTGTTTCACTTTAGCTAATTATGGAAATTCTTGCATACAGTTATATAAATTGTTGTATACATATAAATAGTCAAACTCATTTTATGTTTTATAGTAATAATATAAATATATATGTATATGTATATATATATAGCAATTGGTGTGAGAGTGTGTTTATATGTGTGTGTGTTTGTGTATGTTTGCTCAACATTATTATAGAATTCTTAGCATTTTCATTTCGTATGTAGCATAGTGTAAACATTTATAATTTCTTACTTTTGTGTTGAATTTCAATTTTCATTAATCTTTTCATAATATCTGCAAATATATATTCATATATTATGTATTCTGTGTGTGTATGTGTATTCGTAATGTTGTCTATGAGGTTATAGCGCTTAGTGTATGTGTGTCTGCTTGTGTGCATGTGTGTACGTTGAGGTGGCGCCTTATAACGCCCCAAATGGATCGAGTGGTACATTTTTATTGCCTCCATTCTGCGTCGCCTGCGTGGGCTGCATGATCCCTGTCGCTGCTGGCACCGTCGCATTACTGTGCGCCACGCCCATCATCGTCGGCTGCCCCCCAGTCAAAGGGGCTGCCTGTGGCAGCATATTCGGCTGCTGTCCCATCACCGGCATCCCCTACAATAATCAAAATATCTCATTAGAATACTCTGAAAAATATCGGATTTCATAGTTTGATCAAACTCCCAAATCATGCAGGGAATTGGAGGATTACTTGAACGACTAAGGATTAGACATACGTTGCGGAAGTTTTTGTATAGAAAGAATTGTTGGTTAACAAGTATTTGGCTATTTGAGATTTTTCGCCGTGAGCTACATATAGTATATATAGTGTATATATAATATATATATCTACGGTTTGTCAACACATGGGGTTAGTGAACTCTACATAGGGCATACAACGGAAAGAAAAACTCAGTTTCAGAAAAGTTCTTTCTACAAAAGAAATAATACTTAAAATTCAAAAATTTTAAAACCTTATAAAACTCATAAAAAGGTGAATTTTCAATGAAATCAAAAATTAGTTTCTTAGTTTCTCGAGTGATAGACATGTCAAGAGAGACCTATACAGAGGGAGAGACAGAGAGACAGAGACAGGGTTGCGATAGTGGATGCCATAACCATAAAAATAGAGCACGGGGCAACAGTTCGGAAAGCTCTGTGCGTAGGACAAAAGTCAGAGTAGGTAGATTTGAGAGTGATAGTGAAATCTCAACTTAAGATAAGCAAAAATCAAAATGAATAGAAATAAAATAAAAACATAGATAAGATCATAAACATAATCAAAAGTAAAAATTGTAAATACGCACATTATATATACATATATTTTGTTTAATGAACGTAAAATAAAGGCAACTCATAAGTATAGTAAGTATAAACATTTATTTCATATCTGATTATGTTTTATTCAAAATTGTCTTTGTAGTACGTTGGGTTTTGTTTTTATTTGTATTATTGTATAATTTTTGTTGTTTACGTTTTAATTCGTTTGCATCATTCTTACCTGCATATAATTTGGCATAACAGGATAACTAGCATGTATATACGGATGATTGATTGTGATTGGCGCAGGACTTACAGTCATGCCATGTGCCTATGTATACATACATATAAATATATATATATATAATATATTATATATATATGTATATATATATTGTGTGTGTTTATATTTCAATACATATATAACACAAGCATACAGACAGCATTAACACAGGAGCATCGTGAATTACATATTTATTTTAGGTGTTGAAATTTCATTATATTATTTATTTGTTGTTTGATTATAATTTATTATTATTATTATTTTTTGGATATATTTCGATATTGCGGTATGCGTTGGATAGTTGAAATATATAAAGCAACATAAAATAAAGAAAAGAAAGTGATAGTTTATATATATGTATGTGTATATATATATGTATATATATAAGTAAATATTAATACAGAAATGAATATAAAAAATGAATAAAATAAAAATGGAATAAATACAGTTATGTGTGTATGTACGAGTACAAGTATTAGACGGATTTGTGAATATTTGACCTGCTTATGTAGGTTAGCTATTTCAAGTAGCTGCTCTGTACCTACACTTACGAGGTGTGCCACAATAGTTAGCCCTAGTGCTAGGTGTAGTTGTTGCTCTTGCTGTTGTTGTTGTTGCTGGTTGATGCAGTGTTTTATATGAAAAGACCTTAACCAATATATTATATATTATAATCGAAAAGAATAAAATAAACGTTGAACTTGCAGCAACTTGGTTTGTGCTTATATAGCTTTATACCAATTCAAGAGATATATGTATATAAAAAAGATATATATAAATTGGCCACAACATCTAGATAATATTTTCGGGTTAAATCAAATCAAATTCCACACAGATCAAGACATTTTAAATAAATAAACCAAGTAGCTGTTGTTGTTAAGCAAAGTGCAATTCGTAAAAAAAATATTTGCAAAAGAAAAATATATCGAAAAATGAAAAAATAGTATTAAAAATCATAATCATAAGAGAAATTATATGTTACATGGATAGTGAGCCTAGCGTGTTGTGTGACACAATTTTTAGGATATAAAATAATTATTATTTTTCCCTCGCATTTCTTACTCTTTTGCTTTAAGAGCACAACAAATCTACCTATTCATAGTTATACGTATATATAAATAAATAAATATTTATATATATATATATAAATATAACTCTCTTAACTATGATATTGTCTCATGTTTTTGTTGTATTGTATTTAGTTGAGTTTCGATTGACTTGAGTTTCGTTCGATTGAGTTTCGGTTGAGTTGAGTTGAGTTTCGGTTGAGTTGAGTTGAATTGAATTGAGTTGAGTTGAGAGAAAGAAAGAGTAGAGAGTTAGTTGTGGTCATGACTCACCATTGGACGATAGCCAGCACCAGTTGTAGCCGCCATTGGTTGAGGTGTCCAATTAGCACCTGGTTTCGCTGTATTTTTGGGTGAGTTCCATTGCACGGGTCTATGAGATACATATGGGGTAAGAG